GTACAATGTAAAAGGGTCAATTATATGATATGTGAACTATATCTCAATAATGCTACTTCCAAAAAAATGCTAACAAAAATATTATGGAGATGATATGATTGGCCAGTGAATATTTCGTCAGTGTTTTAAATGGGTCTAAAAATGCGTAGGGTTTTTAACAGGAGGAGATGGGAGAGGAAGTGGAACAGAGAAATAGAAGGATATTTCAGGTGAAGAAGTTTGGACATTAGTTTGGGCCTATATATATATATATCACCTAATAACAATATATGTATATGTTGCTATTAGTAATAGCATATATATATGCAAACAAAAAATAAAATTATTACAATTTACAGAACTGATCATAAAGCATAAAGAATCATCATTGTCATTAACTCAGAATTCCCTAACTTAGTAAAATTACTAACTTTTGGAAGAAACAATAAGGAACCCATATAAATTCCAATTCCATTATGTAAACTATTTCTATTGTCACTCAGCATATGTGACAGAACTACCATTCTAAAAGAAATGAAATACATTTCATTGGTGGGATGTCATTTTTTCAATTTAGTTAAATCCTTCACTTATCAATTTATATAAATTTGAGTTAATCTTGAATTTCAGTTACTCAATAGTTATTTGAAGAAACAACTTGCTAACATTCAAATTAAAATAGGTAATCAAGATTTTATATTAAAATTCATTGAATTATACCAATTTCAATGTTTTCAGTAAAAACGTAAATTGAAATCTTTAGTCACATATGGGATTTAGGTACTAATTCACTTTGGCGAATCACTACAAACTAAAAATGCAATTAAAGTAAATTAAGTTAGGTTTTATTAATATAATAATTACTTTATTGATTGGCATATGTCTATATTATAATAATATTAGCCATTTGCTACAGTAATACATAATAAATTGGGTAATTAGTAGTCACACACATTTAACTTGCCTCTTGAGATGAACAGCTTGGGAAGAAAGGGAACTAAAAGTGAAACAGAAAATTGTATGACATTTAAAGCTATAGAATTTTGTGGAACATTTTGTCTTTATTACAACTAGAAAACTCCAAACAAAATGGAGAAAACATAAGAAAAGGTCAACATTTAAGTATAATTGTACTAAAAGCAGTCTATTTATCATATTGTTTTTAACTTACCAGATTGATTTGGAGCACACATAGACTATCTATAAGCAAAACTAAAATGAATTATTATACATATTCATATACTTCCAATGTAATGGAACCAGTGTAAAAACTGAGTTATAAACAGATGTCATTTTTACATAATTTTAGAAGAATCTTTAATGAGATATACCTACACACACACTCACACACACATATTGAAATATACTATTTGGTAAATTTTAGTTTAAACCATATACTATGTATTTGTAAGGAAATACATTATTTTGCATACTTCTTAACGTTATGCAAGTTACTTAATCTCTTGACCTGTTTATCTTTATTTCTAAAATTGGTGGTAATCATTTCTACCTTATTGGGTTGTTGTTTAGATTAAGTGGGTTACTGCCCACAAATCTGTCTGAACACCTATCCTAACCCTAGGCCTAACTCTTTTTTATTTAGAAAAGCTCACCATATCCATTTGTCAATATTTTCAGCTATAAGGAAAATAGTTTTAAAAACATGAAAATGTAAATGTACTCAAGAGTAACTGCTATTAAACAGTTCTCAACAGGCAGAAAATACAGACTTTCCTTTCACAGAAAATGTTAAATCTATAATAGCAGCATCATTTATATACAGAAAAAAGCTGGTTTTGATGTCTGGCTCCTAGCACTTCATGCAGGCTATTCTTCTTTCTCTCTCTCTCTCTCTCTTTTTTTTTTTTAATAAACAGAAATTGATCCTACCTTTTGAATTAAAAAAAGAAAAGAATTAATCTTAACTAAATTAGTACTTTTCTCTAAGTTTTCTGTACTAATTAGCATACTTTCTTCTATTTGAATTTAACTTATTATTACATAATGGCAAATCATAATGCATATCTGCTTATCTGTATGCCTATGTCAGCAAAACAGAGTTTTATAAATAACAGGAAATTGTAGTATGCTAATCAGCAGATTTAGGTTTACCTTTACAATTATAAAAATGATGTATTCTTTCATATCTATTCTAAAAATCTAAGAACTCTAATTACTTTTATATATGTGAAAGTATATTTCTTATACTAATAATACGCAAGCCATTTCATTAAGTTGTCATGAAAAGATAAACCTGTAATTTTTATCTCAGAGACTGAAATAGGCACTTTTTACTTTATGTATTTCTGAGATAGCAAATAAATATGAGATTATATTAATGTTACACACACATTTTAGGATTTCTTGGGTTTGTGTTTTTTATTTTTATGTTGATTTATTTATTTATTTTGAGGTGGAGTTTCGCTCTGTCGCCCAGGCTGGAGTGCAGTGGCCGGATCTCCGCTCACTGCAAGCTCCACCTCCCAGGTTCACGCCATTTTCCTGCCTCAGCCTCCCGAGTAGCTGGGACTACAGGCGCCTACCACCACGCCTGGCTAGTTTTTTGTATTTTTAGTAGAGATGGGGTTTCACGGTGTTAGCCAGGATGGTCTCGATCTCCTGACCCTGTGATCCGCCCAGGCTGGCCTCCCAAAGAGCTGGGAATAAAGGCGTGAGCCACTGCGCCTGGCCTGGGTTTTAATTTGGATTTAAGTCTCCTTTAAGGGTGACATTTTCTTTAGGCAGTGTAGCTCTGTCAGGCTACTTAGAATGACATGTTATGAGTAAGACAGACATTATTATTAAACAAATTTTAATTTCTGCAACAGAGATAACCATGATTTGGACAATAATTTCTTAGGGCAAAAACAGTTATGTATTGATGTAACTGCATCTTTAACTAATAGCTGATTTCTTAAACTTAAGAATTCTGGCTTGTAATAAAGTTCTAAAAGTGAATTTTATGTAACCTTATAACTATTATGTTAGTCTAGATTAATAGGCTTCAGCATTTACAAAATGAATCTATTCTTATAAAATATGCAGAATATTTCTGTGGCCCTTCATAAAACATCCATCCCTTACTTCTTTTCCACGGCATTCAAGGTTCAGAGTATATTTGTGGACTGCTGTTTTTAAAATGAACTCTACAGAGTAGGCAGAGGATCCATACTTTAGGACAGCTGTAACACACAAGGATCCTGCTAGAAGAGTATGAGTTAGGACCAGGTATATTATAGATAGGAACAGGTGTGCTCAATGACAAATCCGTTGAAAGAAATTAGAGGAGTCTTGATTCAGTGAATTGGTCAGGAGTCATATAATTTGATTTTAAATAGTTTATTTCAAGCATATTTTCACTGTTCTTTAGGTGTTTGAACTTAACTTTTTTGGGGGCTTTTTTCTTATAAACATAAATTAATATTAATAATTAGCTACCATTAAAGAAGAGAAATATATAAAGGTTATTAGTCTTCGTTGAATTGTGCCACTGGCATTACTGGGCAGTCTTACAATAAATTTCAAGGGACTATGTAAATCTGTATTAACTAATTATCTTCAGTAGGAACAAAGGACCAGGGAGTCAATCTGAACTGTACAATTATTAAACATCTCTGCTAGCATATATGAATAGGAAAGACAAAACATAAAATAACAAGGGTCAGAAATAACATTTGTGAATTTTCTATATTCTTTAAGATGAAGAATGAGACCAGCAGAAAAGAAAACACATCTGGGGGCAAACAGAATCAATGACCTTCATTAGCTTAAATTTCCAAATGGCCTCAGATAAAAATCTCTGAGCTACTAAAACAAACCACGAAAACAACAAAACCAAAACTTGAACATTTACTTAAGAATTTGAGGCAAACATTTGGTCATAGACTTAAGAGTACATTTAAATCAAAAAAAAAATAGTTATTATAATACAGAAATGTTAATAATATAGAAATATCTAGGAACTAGCATTAGAGTAAACTTATTAAATATTTTCTTTCTTAATCTAGAAGATGGAGAATAATGTGCTATCTCCAGTTTACAATTAACAGTAACATCTTCTCTTTGAAGATGAAAAGAGAACTCTTTCAACCAGTAGAAATAAATCACTAGAGACTTTCATAAAGCCATGCCAGATAATTTTCAGTTCCTTGCAACAAGTGTGATTTTGTGTCAAGAATTATAAATATAAGTCCACCTCTCTATTGCCACCTGCCACCTCAACCTTGTGTGGGCTGCAAGTATAGAACTAAGACTCAGCTACTTTTTGAGACACTGAAGCAGGAGTTTTTAAGGTGAGGTTGGGGATATAATTCCATGGACTGATTTTCAGGGGTCAGTGATCACTATAACATTGTGTACAGAACTGTATGTGCCTCTTCATGAAGCCATTTGCTTTCACCAGATTCTCAAAGTGGCTTAAAACCCAAAAAAGGTTATGGGTGAATACGCTAAGATATCCATACCCCATCTGGTCACTGTAGAATCACATCCAGAATTGATCTCAGACATATATCACAACAAGATAAAACTGAGGCAGTAGGGGAAAGAATATCTGCTGGTGGCTTAGGAATATGAGGCTACAGGAGTGGAGAGAGACATTCTTTAGCGTGACAAATGGGAGGAAATGGCAAATTCAATTGGCACCTGGGTGAAGGACCTATTGGCTCTTAAGAGTGTTGGAGACACATGTAAATCAATGAGCCTGTCATCCTGTCCCACTTCCCAATTATAATATAGGCACTTAGATGTGAATAACTGATACTATTATTATTTCTTCTGTATAAAAAGTTGCTCTTCATTACCTAGAAATTTGATGATATTCATTTATTGCCAGTAACATACACATTACTTTGGGGTCTTGTCTTCAATATTAGAAATGAGATAAAGTAACTTTTTAATATTCGTGTGATTGAGCATTGTTACAACCACTGGCACTCATTCATTTACTAGGAGACAGATTTTGAATTCAGTAGCTTTGTGTTCATTTACAACAAATAGGAAAAACATATTTTAAAATTTACCTGCAAGGTTGTCGATTTCTTTCTCCTGTAGCAGACTCACTGCATCATCGTCTCCTTCCAGCATAAGTTCTGTCTCTGCATTCTGGTTCACTATTGCTTGACTTCTGAATGTTTTCTTTGACTTTACTACATCTTCTTCCGTGCCTAATCACAACGAAAATATAATAATTTAGGTTATTATGATTGTTTCTGCTTATAGTAGGTATTATAAATAATTGATTGCTTTATGATAATTATATGCTGCGTTTACATATTACTTTACAATTATAGAACATTGTAACCTTCTTTACCTTGTTTGGTTTCCTGTGAGAAACATGGGGTGTGAGGAGCTGTAATCACTGACCCTTATTTTAAAGATGAGGAAACTACATGCATTTTGGAGGAACCCAGCAATTGCTAATGTTAGAGAAAATAACTCTACCACGACTTAGGATTGGAAGATCCATGTCTTAGGGCTCTAAGATCAGTGTATGTTGCACAAAAGTCTGTACTTCACCCCAAATTTATTTTCTTAAAATCACACTATTTTACATAATCACACTTTGTCTAAATTAGCTAATCAATTGCTAATTAGCTAATTAGCAGATCATTTTTGAAAGTGGATGAGATAGATATGCAGAAAACAAAAAACCATTCACATGTGAGGGGAAAAATGATTATCATTGGAAAGTTACAGGAAGGCGGAGTTAGAAATGATGGAGACATAAAAGCTTCTTCATAGTATCTATTTCTTTAGCAATTAGTGAAATAAATACTGGTTTTTCTGAAATGATAGCCTTATTTTGCTATATATAACAACACAAAAAGCTGGCCGGGCGCAGTGGCTCACGCCTGTAATCCCAGCACTTTGGGAGGCCGAGGGGGGTGGATCACGAGGTCAGGAGATGGGGACCATCCTGGCTAACACGGTGAAACCCTGTCTCTACTGAAAATGCAAAAAATTAGTCAGGCGTGGCGGTGGGCCCCTGTAGTCCCAGCTACTTGGGAGGCTGAGGCAGGAGAAAGGCGTGAACCCGGGAGGCGGAGCTTGCAGTGAGCTGAGATCGCACCACTGCAAGACTCCGTCTCAAAAAACAAACAAACACACAAAAAGCCAAAACCAAAACACATGAAAATAAGCAGAAAAACTGAAATATTGTAAATATTGCAAGATTTGACCTGGCATTAATGTATAAGTTAGAAATGAATGCATCTGAATCCCTCAAGAATTTGACTGCTTAACAATTATTTTCATAGTTACATTCAGACACCTGCTTTGGCAGGTGACAATTAATATAAAATTATCTGAACTGAAAGCACCTTTATAAACGCATACACCACCCACACCCACACAAACACCACACACATGAAATACTTTTATATCACTTGAAGCTGAAATTCCATTTAGAAGAAAGCATTGTAATTTACTGTATTCTGTATCAGGATATAGTCTTCAAGGAGCAGCATTAACTAGGAAAACGTCTTCGTATCTCATTTGGTGTGGTGGATATATTCCTGGAAATGGGAGCCTTATAAATCAGTCCTATACGGTGTCGTATTATATTTTTAGGGGACATTACGGTGTTGAAACATAGACAATGGCTCTCCAAATGATGTCATGCCTTTGGTCGAAAGTTTACAATACTTTTGGTCAATTCACCCAGGCCCATACCATAGAACTTCCAACAGTCCATTACTGCCTACTGATATTTGCTCAACCATTGTGCTGTTGTTGTTTGAGACAGGGTCTTATTCTGTCACCCAGGCTGGAGTACAGCGGCATGATCGCAGCTCACTGCAGCATCGACCTCCCAAGCTCAAGCAATCATTCTACCTCAGCTTCCTGAGTAGGTGGGACCACAGACGCATACCACAATGCCTGGCTACTTTTGTTTTTGGTAGAGATGGGCTCTTACTATATTCTCAGGCTGGGCTTGAACTCCTGGACTCAAGTGATCCTCCCACCTTGGCCTCCCAAAGTGCCAGGATTATATGCATAAGCCACTGTGCCCAGCCTCAACCATTTTCTTGCAACTACATCTGGCTGTCATACAACTTGCACTGTAAAATAGTTAGCTTTTTTCCTTTTTCTCTTTGCATTTTGCATACTTCTTTTTCTCAGTGAATATAGGCCAATTCTGTTTGCTAAAATATGAAAAAATTGACTCAAAGGCCACCAGAGTAAAAACACATGTTGAGGAACATAGTCACATCACAATACCATTACAGAGTGTCACTGGCTGAGAGGTATAGTCTGTCATCCTAGCTCCTACTGGATAACCACATTTACAGCACATGGTTAATACATACCATAAATGTATAAAGTAATAGATTGTTAAATATATATTTTGATAAATACTTCAAAGACAAATAGTATTACAAATCAATGCTACATTGGAGGGGAGGGGAATTAAATGGGTTCCATGTGTATTGTTCTTTCACTGGCCCACAGATAATTATTATTTCTGGAATAAAAGATTGGGGATAGATCACTGAATGCTTCAGAACCTTATCTTAATTCTATTTGATTTTTGGTGATATAAAGCCAGCAAAAGAGTAATCTTCTGAGGGTAGCTATCTTTATAACTTGTTTGCTTCCTGGGCAAACAGAAATACAGAGCTTGCATCATTTGAGAACAAAAGAGGCAAATCCAATGACTAATAATTCAGAAATCTCTCCTGAGGTCTTCTTAGCTGTATTTCTGGACTTTGCCTGAGTACTATTAACTGAACATTTCTCTTACTGAGCTAATTGTCTCTTGCTCCTTCTCCTCCTCGTATTTTGGCCAACCATGTACTTTAGCAGAAACCTAGGAATTCATCCTGCATGGTGACTGCCACGGCCCTACTTCAGGCCATCACTGTTTTGGGTCTAGAGGGTGTCAACAGTTGCCTTACTCACACCACCTTCCATACTTTTGTCAGAGTGATTTTTATAAAACACAAATAAGTTGAGGATATTTTCCTATTAAAATTATTCATTAACTCCTCCCAATCAAGTATACCTAAAGCAAGACTTAGACTGCAGGATAAAATCCAAACTTCTTAGCATGGCTTACCAAGGCCTTTTATCCTCTCATTACCAGTTCTGTGTTTTCACCACACCCTCCTCAGCAATATTGGACCACTTACAGCTTCCAAAATATGTCATGCTTTCACATACCTCTTTACCCATGCTAATGTTATTCCCTCTGCAGGGTATGTTACTACCTTTCCTCCTTGGCCTGGCTAATTGCTACTTGCCCTTCAAAACTCACTTGCTTCAGCTGTCTTTCCTAACAAACCCTACCGCACATTCACAGCTTACACACAATTCAACTGCACTGTATAGGTGTTACCTATTATGTGTCTGTCCTCTCCACTAGGCTGTAGTCCCATTTCTGTAGCTTCAGTGCCTGGCGCCCAGCAGTTGTGCCACAAACATGTGCTGAACTGAAGTTCAAGTTCACCCCACCACCCTATTCCCTTCTCTGATTTCTTAAGAGCCCTTGTGTGCTCTTTCCCTTATGCTTCCACCATACCTCTTGAACCCTGCTACTGCAGAATTTACAGGTATTGCAACTGCTTGCTTATTTATCTCCACAAAAGCCTCCAAGTTCCTTCATGCCTGGAAACATGTTTTTGTCTTGGTATTCTCAGTACTTAGCACGCTGCCTAGCACAGAGCAAACCCTTAAAAATCCTGAATAAATGTATAAACTCAGACATTACAGTTACCCTTGCCTATTTCAAAAGTCTGAAGTTCCCAGGATATCTTGGAGTCTCAGTGAGTTGCCTTTAGTTTGTGGCAAGCTGGAGAATCTATGTATTTACAGGAAAAAGAACTTGTTTTTTTTACAATAAAGTCAAAAAAGCCTTTTAAGTGTGAGTAATCTAATAAAGCAAGTTTTTCCTTATATAAAAATCAGGGGCAATCTTTGTCAGTAAAAAAAGCTTTATATTACTTTTGTATTACCAAAATAAATATTTACCAATGAAGAAAATGTAGTAGAAGAAAGGTGAGCTCTGAAATGTATATCAAGCTTTCAATTTTATCCCCTCTGGTTTTAAAGTAGTAAAACAATCATGACTTTAAAAGATATATAGTAAACTAATCCATATCAACACACTAAGCTTATCATCCTTGTTCAAGTGTTATCAGTTTGCAGCTCAGCAAACTTCCTGATTTTATGGTACTGCACCAAACATTTATCTAAATTAAAGTGTATGAGATCTAAAGGTGCTTTTCAATCACAATATCCTTTATGAATTAGAGTTTCATTCATCAAAATTACAGGCAAAAAGAGGTAAGGTCTCAAAGGGCTGTCTCATTACAAGGCTTGTAAACACTGTCCTTAGGAAGAATTGGTTTAACACCCAACAAATCAAAATCTGATTGGGAAGATAATTTATTTGAGATCATCTATCTTCAGAAGACTGTTGGACCGAGTGCACTTTTTGGCCTCTTTAGCCATTCATCAAGAAATTAACAAGCGAATACCACAAACTACCAGAACGCCTTGGATCTGAAAATGTATACTATGTGTAAAGCTGGGTAGGATAGACATATATATGTGCTATGGCCTATGAAAACATTAAAATACCAAAAAATTTAAAAGTTTAAGGAGAAAAAATGCCACTGAATTATAGCTCAAGGAAGCTAAATCCAAAATCATACTTATGTTATTTTCTATATCATGTGACAACACATGAAAGCACTCTATAGACTGACTTCTGAGTAAATATATAGATATAAAGCTCTGTATATGAAAATGTTATGTAATACAGAATATTGCATTGCACAAATCTAAAGTTCCTTTTTCATAAAATTTCTATTAATAACCAAGAATCCATGTGAAAAAAGGTATATTTTAAAGGTGAAGTAACAGCAGAACTAAAATGTTTCTAGTATTGTTACTATATTCCAGTATTATTGTTACTCTTATTGCGATATTTTAAATTACCATTTTAAAGTTTTATTGTTATTTTAAATAAGCATAAGTTAAAATGCAGAAATGACAAACTGGAGACATTAGCTCCTCTTAACGATATCAAAGAATATGTCTACCTGGAATGGCCACACGATCAAGGCAAAGCAATTAGTTCATGTGCTCTTTATGTTCTTTTCTATCGATAAAAATAAACAATTAATGTAAAGAAAAATATAGTATTTTATTTCTGTTTAAG